GGCGGGTCCGTGGGAACGGGGCGGGCAGTGGGTTGGGCTACGGTTTGGGGTAGGGAGTGGTAGGGAGGGGTAGGGTCGTCATCTGTGGCGTCAAGAAATTTTAAATCGTTTGGAGTGAGAGGGTGACCATATTGAAAATTAAACTCGTCAAAAATGACATGGCGGTAGATTATAAGTTTGTTAGTTTGAAGATCCAAGTAGCGGTAGCCGCGTTGGTTGGAGGGATAACCGAGAAAAATGCAGCGAGCTGAGCGTGGTGCTAATTTGTTAGGAGTGGTGGCGGAGATGTTAGGATAGCAAAGACAACCAAAAACACGGAGATGGGAGTACGAGGGCGGTGAGTTGTAAATGGTAGCATGGGGGTGTTGTTATTTAAAGTGGTGGTGGGAAGGAGGTTAAAAATGTGGGCGGCCATGTGAAGGGCCTCAACCCAAAATTCAAGAGGGAGTTGGGCTTGGAAAAGGAGGGATCGAATGGTGTTGTTAAGGGTGCGGAGGGTGCGCTCAGCTCGACCGTTTTGTTGACTGGTGTGGGGACAAGAAAATCTAAAAAGAATGCCTAAGGAGTCAAAAATGTTTTTAAGGGGAGAGTTACGAAATTCAGTTCCATTATCACATTGTACAGCTTTTATTGTCGTGTTAAAATGATTTTTGATATATTCTATAAAAGTGGTTAAATGATTAAAAGCATCACTCTTGTGTCGTAAAGGAAATACCCATAAATAATGCGAAAAATCATCCAACAATATCATGTAAAATTTAAAGCCAGTTATACTGGGTACAGGAGATTGCCATAAGTCTGAATGTAAAAGTTGAAAAGGAAAAGTAGAAACACGACTAGATGAAGAAAAAGGGAGGCGTTGCCTCGAGCTGGGTCCCCCGTTGCCGCCGCTGGATGGCTACCGACCGCCGCTGTTGGCGCCGGGCCGACCGACGAGAAGAGCCGTGCTACCAGTGTCGGCCATGGGAGACCGCTGCCGGTCCAATAACATGAGAGCGGAGAATGCTTGTAGAAAAGTGGGCAGCGGATCCTGAAATTGAAGAAAAGATGTCTGGGCCTGCAGATCCGCGGGGAGACCACGAAGCATCTGAAGAACAAGTTGGTGCTGGGACACCGGGGCATCAACATCGTCTAGCAAATCGGCAAGATTTTGCAGATGTTGACAATAGGCCGCCATGGTGGTGTTGCCTTTGACGGTGGTGCGGAACTCGTGTTCTAGTTGCATGGAACGAGCGTTCTTGTTGTCGTGAAACAGATCGTGAGAGCAGAAGCGGTGGGGACAGAGGAGATAACCAGATCGGAGACTTCGTCGGAGATGGTGGACAGAATCCATCCCTGGAGGAGACCGTCAAGTTGGAGTCATTCATCGTCGTCTTCAGAGAGGGGGACGACGGAGCCGTTGATGTAGCCTTGGAGATTGAATCGGCGAACCAGGAGGAGAAAGAGGCGACTCCACTTCTTGTAGTTTGGTTGAGAGAGGCTGAAAAGAACCAGAACATGGAGTTTGACGTTGGAGATCGTCGTGAAAGCAAGATGAGGAGTCTTTGCCGGGGTGGCATTGGTGTTGGAGGTGACCTCGCTGTCGGCCATTGGAGAGAAGAGAGCCGGCGACGAAAGGAGGAGAGGAGGAGAGGGGCTGCTGCTGACGACGAGAGGGAGAGGCGGCGCTGCCGCTGGAACTGCCGAGAGGGAGAGGGAGAGCCGAGAGGTAGGGTTAGGGTTTTTTTTGTTTAATTAAGCTCCGATACCATGAAGAATAATGATTTTCATTGATTGAATAGGTTGTGGTTACATGTATATGTATAAGAGGAGTCTCAATCCTAAACAAGGTAGGAGAGACACAAGTAAGGAAACATATACAAATAAGGTAAGAGAGTAATACAATATATTAAATATATACAATATATTTAACACTTCTGACCCTCCACAGAAATCTCTCTACAGAATAAAACAAGAACAATATAACCTACATTTCTTCAAGCTGTATAGTCAAGAATTTTAGTTAGACTCTTTACCCTCGGCCCGCGTTGAAAATCCCAAGTCATTTGCACTCACCTTAAATTTCACTGCCACATTGACATGGAGGAGTGTCCGTCCCTTGACTTCGGGCGTTTTTAAGAAAGTTAAACTCAGAGGCTTAAAATATTAGACGGATTTGGTTCATTTTTGCCTTGATGACATTCATCATTTTTTTTCTAGTGATATCAGTGAGATTCCAAACAAGAATATCTCACATTCTTGCCTTCAAGTCAATCATCATCCGAACGCGCAAAACCTCAATTGCCTTTGGCATCTGTAGATTTTTCAGAGGACGGGGTTGGTTCATTTTCACCATTTGTTGTGCTTGGTGGACATAAATCTGAGGCGAACTGTATAGTAGTAGTAGGTTTAGGTTCAGATAGTTTGGTAGATTGTGAAGCCTCTCTGCTAGCTGCATCTTCAGTGTTGCATTGAAAGGAACAATCTAAAGAAGAACAATGCATGGGATCAGCGAAATTCTCTTTACCATCGACTACAGTGGGCCCACCATTTGATCTCTCGGTAGTGGAAAGGATATCACCCTTAGTAGGCAATGCCTTTGGATTAGAAGCATCTGACATGTCGTGGGCTTCTTCAACCTTACTCTGAAATGATTCTAAACAACGTTGTGGGATAGCCCCATCAATCCCACATGTATCAGGAGACACCACTGCTTCCTGAATTTCATCAGCTATTTCTCTGGTGACCGGGAAGGCAGCTTCATATTCTTGAACCTCTTGTACAGAAGCTTTGATAGATTTCTCACAGGCTACTTTGAGACCGTTTGTAGGTGCGTCTTCCATATCAAGTGTGGTATCAATTTCACCTAATGTAGAGTGTGCCACATTTACCGAAGATTCATCAAACTTGTTCTCCACCTCAGATTTGATTGATTTGGCTTCCTTATTGGAAAGGTTGGTCGCAGTTGGAGAACCGTCTGGCGCACCAATCGTTGTGTTATCATGTGATTGCACAACTGAAACTGGATGAACAGAGCACACGCTTTCACCCTTCGCATGAATTTCATCAGCACTCGGCGGGTCAGTGTCATAGCATTTATTTGGATCACACTTAGCACTGTTGGCAGAAGAAACCGTGTCTGATGCTCCTCCTATCAGTGCAGGCAATGGACAAGGTTTGTTACAATCAGCATTTCTTGAACCTGTGCAAACAAATCAAAATCCCAAATCAAAGAACCGGATAAGAAGAGCCATATAAGTGCTTTCTTTCCCATAGAAATGGAGGAAATGAGTTGAAAAACGAGCCTAAGATTGCCTTATAACCTTGTGGTGCCCCTTGCCTTACTAACTGCTTCTGTAGCATATCTACTCCTGGAAACACCAACATATTCATAGATCTCATCTCATGTTTGTGTGATTCTTCAAGCTGGTTGAAACCAAAAACTTCAGTCCAGGTATGAATATGCTCGGATATAGCAGGAATGATCAGCTTCTCAACTTTCAGATTGTAGAGGCACTGAGCATGGCAACAAAATGACAAAAAATCAATTAAATAAGGACAAAACATTTCAGATTTTGAAACAAGGGTGCAGGGTAGCTTTTTTAGAGTTTGATCTTTAACCCATCTGTAGACAAGAATTCCCTTGGGATGTAACAGTTTTCACTGCTGTTTCAACTAACTTATCCTGTATAGTACTCCCTGCAACAACATCAAACCCGTATAATCCCAGCTTTCTTGGGGTCTTTTTTTTGGGGGGAGGGGGGGGGGGGGGG